AAAATGGAAATGAAGAAGAGGGGGAAATGGTGGAAATGGGAGTAGGAGGATAGGAAGCGATCGTACGATTAGGACGTCCAAGCGGTCTATTAACCCAAGACATAACAGGACGTGTAATCTAAAGCTTCTTCCGCCTTTCATCACCCCAAATCCTTGTCATTTAAATGATCTGTGCTATACTACCTCAAATTTCACTCTTTCAGTATGATTGTTCCAGTAATGGGGCGTGAAATATGAACACGTCCATCCACGCTACTGAACCGCATTTCAGCATATGAGGTGTACTCAGCGTAGATTAAATCGGGCATCAACACTCCCTTTTACGATTAAAGTCCTAATCTATCAGCGAAAATATTAAGGCCTGTAAGCGTGACTCACTTTAGACTCAGCTGTCACACTCATCTCCGTCAGTGACGGTTACCCCTCTGCGCCATTCACAGCTGTCACAGGAACGAAGTGGAATATTCCCAGCAGTCTCTAGAGCATTGATGACTGCGGTCGTACGCCTAACAGCCACCGCACCCCTCTCTTTCCCCCTTCTTTTATTAGTACCGTCAACCAAGTTACTCTCAGGAGTGATCCGTCCTAAAAGTGCAGTGCGTGTATCTGTATCACCAACGTAAAGGCGACGTTTTTAATTTCTCTAATCTGACTGAATCAAGTTATTGGCAAATATACAATTTCTATAAGATTTAGCTGCTATTTATCTCCTGTTTACACTGTTAACCAGAAATGCTGATGCTGATTCACTGATCGGGCGATTTGATTGGCTTTGTCCAAGATTTGGAGCACTTTTGGGACTCTCATTGGTTATGTCCGAATTGGGGTAATCAATTATGTCAAAATTGCTGCTTTTCATTGCCTTGAGTGATAAAATTGATGTTCATCAACTCTTTTCATTTAAAATAGGTTTTTTTTAAAAAAAAAAACCAAATAAGGCAAAAAATTGCAGTGTAACTCCAACATAAATTGTACCGTTTTTCCCCTTACCCAGTAGTTGACCTTACATCAAATTTTGGCAACTTTTTAAAATTTCGCCTACCTTGGCGTGGGATTGTTTTTTTTTTTTTGGGAAAACAGTCTCATCTCGCATAGTAATTGTATCGTTATGTGAGGATGAAATGAACTAATTTTACGCTTTTTGGACTGTAATCTTTTGTAAACTGGTGAAAATTAATTAATGTAACCTACTCTGCGGATTAGGAGGCCAATCGCAGTCTCGATAGCATTCCAGTAATTTTCTAGTGCTCTCCTAAATAATGATAGCTTCTACTTATTTTGTAGAGATTGACAGCAACGCCAATTGAGAAATCGGCCCTCCGTTAGGCACCCTACTCGAGTTCTATAGAATTTCTTTCCTCCACTAGCAGACTTTGAGTAAATTTATGCTCTTTGAAAGATATGAACGCCTTCCACTTTATAATTTCACACCTCCATGACTTTTGGCCAATGCTGATATGCTGGACTGCGGGCAGCAGGTCATGTTTAAAACTGCGTATGGTGATGCATGTTTTTCTTTTGGGAAGAAACGTTGAGTCATTCAACAGAAAGGTGGCTGAATGGAGTAAACATTTTAGAGATAGTCGCTTTTGCTTTCAGACTGGAGGACTGAAGTCATTTCCGCCAACATTTGTATGTCGTATAACCTGGCAAGGAAATGTACACAGTAAATAACGTCATTTGGGTGCAATGGCAATCCCTCAAAGCGGCTGCACGACTTTCACGAGATCACCTCAGAAGGGGTGGCGAGGTGAACCTACCTACCTGCCCGCCAATAAATCTACCATTTTGACAGGTCTTCCCAACCCTAAATCTAGTTTTGATAGGTTTAGTTAATTCGCAGTACGAAGAGGAGCAAAAATGTGTCTCGTGGGGATTTCAGAGGTCCCGGTTCAACATGAATGCATTTTATAGGTCAAACTTCTGCGTCAAAATTCGCCTTTTAGTCTCCAAATTCTCCGAAAAAAGGGGTTTTTTGAGCCACCTTTCTGTTGAATGACTCAACATCTTTTTTTTAACAGATACTCTTTGTTTGGGCAACCGCCATTTAAGGGTAAGCCTTATAACAGCCTCCTCCCATCGCAGCCTCACTCCCACTAGGACCTTCAATGTCACACCTCAAGACCATTGCAGTCGATGAATAATTCATGCATTGCTTTCCACTGAGATGAAAAGACATACGATACACGAAAAATTTACTTATAAATGACCTTATGCGGGAAAAATGGGTCATAGGTCATTTTTCTTCTGTTGATTTTTTTCATCCGATTGGTGCCCTTTAAGGGGTAAAAAAGTGCCTCAAGATTTTCCCATTGATTAGACCAATGCGGTGGTGGAGAAAGCAGAGGATATTTAGGAAATCTTCTCTTCACTCTTTTTCCCGAGAAGGTGATAACCACCTGGGAATGTGTATTGCAGACGGGAGGAGGTGAGTGAGGAGGAGGAGGCGGGCTTGGCGTTGTAGCCGTGTCTCTCTTCACCCATCGGGGTAAGGTTTGCCGCATTGTGAGACCTTGAGTTGCCTCTCTTCTGATCGAATGGCTAGCTCTGGCCCTATCCCAAGTAGAAGGTTCTCTTCCCCACCCTCGAGTGGATATGTCTCGTCCACAAGGATTATTTCCATTGGACAATTTTACTTACAGTTCTGTGAGAGAGTGAAGTAGTACGCTTCCAAGACGTGTGAACAGGGCGATGGGTGGATAGCCTGGGAAAATTGGTGGAAGTTGGAGGTGTTTTTCCGTACGCGAATCTCTCACGTCCAAGGCCTCTACCATAGATTAGTGATTCACCCACCATAGCAGCCTGCTTTTGGTCAGCAGTTTATCCAAATGTTACACCAGTGGCGTCCCCGATACAAACTACCCCAATTGACCTCGCTGACCCCGGAAGTTTTGATTTTATGCAATCTGACTTTCTTTTCCAGTGTGAACACATTCCGGGTCGACAATTTCGAAGTGGAAGCTACAAATGTATGTGTCGTCAGGGTTTTGAATATCCCCTCAACGACTTGACTTGGTTCTTCGATGGCGAGACAATGGAAAAGGAATACGAGTTGAAGATGTCAGGTCAACCGAGTCGATATGACCTTCTCAAATGCCGCCAGGGTCATGCAATGACCGTGCAAGTATCCATGGTGTTAATTCTTGTAATTGCTTACATTGTTGCTTTCTTTTAGTTGACTTTTGAATAAAGGATGATTGGTTGAGGGGAATGATTCCTGCTTCCCCCAGACCCTCCCCCATTCTCCAATGGGAGGTGCCCACACGGTTGAAAAAGGGTTTGTTCGAGTTCCTCCTTGTGTATTTGCAAGAAAAGCAACTTCCAGCCTTGTGTTTCGTAGCATCGTTGGGAGGGCTTCCAGTCGGTAACAGTGCGGTCGGATATGTTGGACATCTTTCCTTCTCTGTAAAAACACATCCGCTTCCGGTGAGACTCCAAAGAGGGCGTGTGCATAAGTGAATTGGATAGTTAATGTAGACCAACGAAATCAATCTTGTAAAGCTAAATTTATGGAGGAGACACCGATCTCGTTAAGGCAAATTGAACACCGCAGGTGCCGATGACCCATCCCTCCGTTGTGGTATCCAAGCAGGTGCAGTTCAGTACCTGACCAAGTTTTGGGGCATATAGGAATCAAAATACAGCAGTACACATCCCACAGTTTTGCAGTGAATGCAATTAGGCTGGGAGATCTGTGTGTCACGTATTTGTGACGCAAGGTTGGATCATGTTTTGAAGTATCTCGATTGCAGACATTAATCCAGGTAACCAAAATGACAGCCACCTGTTCAGCGTTGCGGATGAATGGTCCACTTTGTGCAATTAAAGAAAAGGCAAATGTCGAAAAGGAAAGCGACAGGCTTTGAAAAAAGGCATTACCTGTACAATTCCCCTCAGGTTTAAGCAAAAAAACTCGCCCTCTCTACCTACAATACCCGCATTCAAGTCATTCAGATGCATAAAATGCAGAAAGGGCATAAGAGATGCACCTCGACCACGAGATTCAGATGTCTTCCTTCATTTTTGAGCTTCGGACCAACTTTAAAGATGGCGTAGGAGAAGAGGAAGAAAATCTGACAAAAGGTGTGGCAGAGAACATTCAAATGACAAGGATTTGGAATGATGAAAGGCAGAGGAAGCTTTTGATTACACGCCTTGTTCTATGTTCTGTTAATAGACTGCTTGGACGTCCTACTCGTACGATTGCCTCCTATCCTCCTACTCCAATTTCCACCCACTTCCTTCTCCTTCCTTTCCACTTTTTCTTTCCACTTTACCCTACTCCCCTTTCATTT